GCAAAGATGATGGCTCAATCTCTGCTCTCCCATTGAGTCTCAGGACAACCCTCCCCGTGCTGCCACTCTGCTTTCTTAAAGGGACAGAGCAGCTGGTCCCGTCAGTCTCAGCACAAGCCTCCCTCCTGCTGCTCTGCATTATTAGGGACAAGGGAGTCTGCATGCAAAGACACTGGCTCAGTCCCAGTTGCCCACCTGTAGCACCCGAGCCTGACAGCCAAGGGAAGTCCCCTCTGCTACACCTGCAAAGGAGCATTCCATTCCATGTAGCCCCAGCTGGGCTGGCGGGGGGCTGAGAGAGACTGGAAGTGAGAGCTGCAGCTGTGCTAAGGTAGCAGGTAGAGGTCGGTCCACCTCAATTTAGCCCATAGGGGAGGCCTGGGAGACAAAGGCTACGTCTACACTGGCAGCTTCTTGTGCAAAAACTCTTCCAGAAGAGAACGTCTACGCTGACATGTGCTTTTGTGCAAGAGCATCCATGCCAGTGTAGACGCTCTCTTGCGCAAGAACGCTCTGATGGCCATTTTAATGATAGGGCTTCTTGCGCAATAAATTCATATTGCCTGTCTCCACTGGCCTCTTGCGCAAGAACAGTTTGGAGAAATTGTTGCCAGTGACTGTAGGGGGCCCACGCACACTCTCTCTTCAAGGTACTGACTGTCCCTACCTTCCACTGAAGCCAGTAGGAGTTGAAGGCTTAGGTGCCAGAGTGCAGGAGACACCCATGTCTCTCCCAAGTCCTGGGGCTCCTCTGCCTTGTGCTAGTGGCAGCATGGAATCCAGAGGCGCTCCAAGGCTGAGATGAGACCAGGCGCACATGTAAGGAGCAGGAAGAAAGCCCAGCCAGGCATCAGGCACTGCCCACCAGCTGGATCCCCCTCCAACTGCTGGGGACAATGGGTATGTTGGGGCCCTGCCACAGGCCGGTAACCTTCTTGTTCTCTGTCTTTCTCACACGCTGACCCAGGCTTGATAAATGTGAGAAGAGGAACAGTCTTTTCATCAAGACAGACCAGCCAGGTCGATTCAGCTATACCAGCCCACGTGAGTGCATGCATTTATAAAAAGGGAAATAAGAACAACCTAGGAAACTACAGACCAGTTAGTTTAACTTCTGTGCCAGGGAAGATAATGGAGCAAGTTAATTAAGGAAATCATCTGTAAACACTTGGAAGATGGCAAGGTGATGGGGAACAGCCAGCCTGGAGTTGTAAAGAACAAATCATGTCAAACCAATCTGATAGTTTTCTTTGATAGGATAACGAGTCTTGTGGATAAGGGAGAAGCGGTGGATGTGGTATACCTAGACTTTAGTAAGGCGTTTGATATGGTCTCGCATGATATTCTTATCAATAAACTAGGCAAATACAACTTAGATGGGGCTACTATAAGGTGAGTGCATAACTGGCTGGATAACAGTACTCAGAGTATTTATTAAGGGTTCACAATCTTGCTGAAAAGGTATACCAAGTGGGGTTCCGCAGGGGTCTGTTTTGAGACGGGCTCTGTTCAACATCTTCATCAACGATTTAGATATTGGCATAGAAAGTATGCTTATTAAGTTTACAGATGATACCAAACTGGGAGGAGTTGCAACTGCTCTGGAGGACAGGGTCACAATTCAAAATGATCTGGACAAAGTGGAGAAATGGTCAGAGGTAAACAGGATGAGGTTTAATAAAGAGAAATGCAAAGTGCTCCACTTAGGAAGGAACAATCAGTTTCACACATACAGACTGGGAAGCGACTGTCTAGGAAGGAGTACGGCAGAAAAGGACCTACCGGTTATAGTGGACCACAAGCTGAATGAGTCAGCAGTGTGATGCTGTTGCAAAAAAAGCAAACATGATTCTGGGATGCATTAACAGGTGTGTTGTGAGCAAGACACGAGAAGTCATTCTTCTGCTCTCCTCTGCGCTGGTTAGGCCTCAGTTGGAGTATTGTGTCCAGTTCTGGGCACCGCATTTCAAGAAAGATGTGGAGAAATTGGAGAGGGTACAGAGAAGAGCAACAAGAATGATTAAAGGTCTAGAGAACATGACCTATGAAGGAAGGCTGAAAGAATTGGGTTTGTTTAGTTTAGTTAGCCGTCTTCAGGTATCTGAAAGGGTGTCATAAGGAGGAGGGAGAAAATTTGTTCATCTTGGCCTCTGGGGATAGAACAAGAAGCAATGGGCTTAAACTGCAGCAAGGGAGGTTTAGGCTGGACATTAGGAAAAAGTTCCTAACTGTCAGGGTAGTCAAACACTGAAATAAATTGCCCAGGGAGGCTGTGGAATCTCCATCTCTGGAGATATTTAAGAGCAGGTTAGATAAATGTCTATCAGGGATGGTCTAGACAGTATTTGGTCCTGCCATGAGGGCAGGGGACTGGACTTGATGACCACTTGAGGTCCCTTCCAGTCCTAGTATTCTATGATTTGCAGCATTGGCTCCATTGCAGCATCCTATCCTGCCATGGCACACAGCCCTCTGGGCAGTGCCAAGCAGCTGAGAACAGGACAGTTGGCCTCTTTATCGGGAGTCATTAGATAAATAAATCCAGCGCTTTCTTCTGAGAGGCACCTTCCAGCTCCAGGCCAGCCCAAAGGGGAGCAGATTTAGCACAAGGATTAAGTGCTGTTAGCACTTAACTGTGCAAGAAAAGAGATTGAGGAGCTGCTGGCTGAAATCTCAACTTGGCAAGGCTCCTGTGCTGGGTGTCCGAATGCCATTGCCAAGGCAGAGGGCACCAGAATGAATCCAGGGCTGGATTCCTGTTCTCTCTGAACTGGACTCTGCCATGGCCTGACTCAGGGTATGAGCGCTGAGAAGTCAGTGGGAGCTGGGGGGTGCAGGGCACTTTGGCTAATCGGAGCCCCAAGTTTGTCATCTTGGCAGTTTTCTGAAGTGGCTTTGACAAGTAACCAGGCCACTATCTACAAGTCACCACTGAGGAACCCCTCCTCTGTTCTGTCTGAACATTTGGCAGAGTGATTGGAGAATTTGAATTGGCTGAGCAAGGGGCACCTAACTCTCCTCTTAGGAGGTCAAATTGGAGCTCTAGAGCCAAATCTTGCTTGGTGCATGCAAAATCATACTGCAGATGGGGTGCCATTCTGAAGAGCTCACTACATTGCTCCAGCCAGTGGCCAACCACATGCTCTTCAAAATGGTGCCGCCAGTCCAATACTGGACAAAATGACATGCAGTTTTTTCTTGGTACCAGATGGGGGACAAACCACCCGACGAGAGGAATGTTGGGTTCAGAATCGGGGCATGGCCTACCTACCAGCTGGCATAAATCAGCTCTACTCCACTGGAGTCCTTGCCTGTTTATACCAGCTGAGGGGCAGCAGGGTTGGGTGGAGGAGCCCCACTCAGCTGGGGGTATCAGGCCTTGGGGGGAGGGGGCCCCCACTCCACATATGCGCTAGTATCTCTGCCTGCTCATCTTTACCCTGCACCTTTGTCCATGCATCCTGCAGGTTCGGGTAGCCAGCATGACATCCGTGTGGTGGAGACCAACTACAACGAGTATGCCCTGCTGCATACCAAGATGCTCAAGGGCACCGACTCCTTCACCATGGTGACTCTCTATGGTATATGGCACCTGGATCTGAGGCCCATGGTGGCACTTCTGCCCTGCACATTGGAGAACTCTGCTGGCAGACACTTAGGCTCCCTTGTGGCCCTCTGTCCCCCACCCCATCTGAGAGACAGTGCTCACACTCCACATGTCCCTGCTTTGAATTTCAGTAGGATTTGTCTAGAGGGAGTGGGGGCTCATCCCTCTGCGGAACCAGAGGCTCTGCCCTGAGCCCAGTGGCAGGGCAGTAGCTCTTGTGTTACTGGCTGAGGCAAGGCTGGTTGTGATGCACAGAAAGGGTTTGCTGGCAAGGCTGATGGACACAGACTCTGTGTCACTGGTGCCTATGGCTAACACAGGCTGTCATGGAAGGGGCTGATTATAGTGGGAGGGACTCCCTCTCATCTGGAGGTTTTTTTCTTCCCTGGCTGCAGGCAGAACTAAGGAACTGAACCCTGAATTGCTTGAGAAGTTCTCCCAGTTCTCCATGGTGCAGGGGCTCCCAGAGGATGCTATTCTCCTCCTGCCAAAAACTGGTAAGAACAAGCTGTAAGTAAACAAGGCAAGAGATAAGAGTGGGAGAACGTGAGGGTTAGGGTGCACTTGGCAAGCCTCTGTGTAATACAAGCTGCTTCCAGCTGTGTTCCTAACCCAGCCTTTTCCTATTTAGGTACCTCAATCTGGCCATATAAGTCCAAAGAGAGGCTCCTAGAATTGCCCCCATGGTCTTGATTGGAAATGGAGGGAGCTCAATGCCCCTGAACCTCCATGGCACTGTGAACCTCCCTTTAATTACCCATTAACTCCAGCCCTGATGGATGCTGTGTCCACTGTTCTGAATCGGAGGGAAAACTGCAGATCTGCTTGGGAGCATTGGCCGTGCACCATGAGTGGAAGGAGAGTGAGTTGTGCACCTCTGGCCAGGCCATGCTCCCAACTTGCCTGAGCAATGAAAACTCACTGTGTGTGCAAGGTTAGGACTGAATGTGAAGGGATGTTGCAGGGGCTAAGGCCACAAGCTCTGCCAAGGGGATGACTTACGCTTTGGACTACTGCTGCTCTCGCTGACCGTGGTACAGAGCCAGGGGAGTAAGTAGCTGTGTCCTGGGAGACTGCAGGGTTCAGCTCTTTCCAAACCCTCCACTGAATGATGACTCTTCTGGGTCTGAGTTTAGCCTCCCTGCAGTGGGAAGGAGGCCAGGCTCAGGAATCTGGGCCAAAGGTAGCACCACTGTTTCCTCACTGCCAGCAAGTCTGGCAGTCAGGGCCAGATTAAGGGGCGGGCCATGCAGATGACTCTGGTGGCTGCGTGGGGCATGGCAGGAGCTGCTGCCCAGGCCGTGGAGTGCCCCCTCCGCCCGGGCGAGAGGGCTCCTGCCTGGGGCGCCAGAATGGCTCCGGCCAGCACTGCTGGCAGCCCTCAGTCCCTGTTCCATGGGAGCTCAGCTCACTGAATACGTTGGAAGCAGATGAGATGGACAAGGGAGGGATTTTCCTAGAGCACGTGGCCACCTGCACTTGCCCCAGGACAACAGACAAATCTTGCTAACCCTCTCTCAGGTTACCTGTGTCACACTGGTGCAGTCAAAGGGGCAACTTGTGAGAGGACAACACTCCGGGGCTACGTCTACACTTTGAATAAGTAGGAATAAGATCCTCCGGAAAAGGGCGCTTTTTCCGGAGGATCGGGGCCAGTGTAGACGCTCTTTTCCGGCTTTTCTAAAAGCCGGAAAAAAGCGGCGGACATTTTTATTTAAATACCGCGGGGGATATTTAAATCCCCCGCGGATTTCCCTATTACGACCTCTGAAATTAACATGCCCCTTCCGGAAAAGGGGCCAGTATAGACGAGCCCCTGGACTGGGATCTCAAGGGGAGGTCACCCAGTTTACCCTTCCATTGCAGGCTTGGTACTTGGCATGGCACACTGGTTCCTGGCCCACTCCCAACAAGTTGAGCTGAATAGATGTTCACTTCCCATCTTCTATTCCAGGGTCTCAGACCAACAGTTCATATGCTGGGGCTATGGGCTAAACCCATCCCAAGAAGGAGCCTAACCAATGGAGGCCTCTGGATGGAAATAAAGTCTGCAGCTGTTGAGGGCTGGTCAGGCTTAGTGCCCCAAACAGAGGGGGGATGAGAACTGCACTCAAGTGAGGGAAGGTCAGGAGCCTGGAACTGGGAGGGAATGGTGGGGGGGACCACTGGCTGTACTGGGATGGAGCTCAGGACAGGCACACTCATGTATGCTCCCCAGGCTGAGAACGAACCTGCGCGGGGGACATGGCCATGAGGACCAGCCTGTGTGAAACAGTCCTGCCTTAAAAACCCATCAGCTCCCTAGGTCTTTTCCCAATAGCCTTTCTATGGCACTGCCCAGGCTTCAGATCATCGGCCACTCTGCTATAACTTTGAGCCCAAGCTGCCATAGGCTTGAGGAATGGGATAGCGGTGACCTCTAGTCACCAAATAAGTGTAAAGGAGCAAACCCATTGGGAAGGAGGCAGGCCATGCCCTGCTCCCTGGACCTAGCCCAGCAATGCCCTGGACTAATGGGAGTGGCTCAGGGGGAAGCAAAGTGTGGAAAAACTGCAAAGCATCCTGCAGTAGCAAAACACAGCAACACCCCTGCTAGCCCCTCTGTCATTGTCCCTCCATCCTGACCCCTGCTATTCCAGCCCTGCCCCATGCACAGCTCTGCTGTCATGATCTGCAGCCCTTTGCTATTCCAATCCTGCATTGAACAGTGACCTTTAATTGTGCTTGTGTCTTTTTAATGGGAACAGAAGAGGCTCCAGCATACCTTTAAACAAATGCCAGCTGCTTGCTACACCCACTGACAGCTGGTCCTTGACAGCAGGAAATGCTGTTAGACTGGCTTTCTCTGCTCTCATAGCCCTTTTGTGGGGGCTGTGGAGAAGGCTTTCTGCCCCACAACTCACCTGAGGGATGTAGGTAACCAGGTAGCCCCACACCAGCTCAGGTCAGTGAAACTGGATCAGCATTAAGCAGCAGCAAAGAAGAGAAAAGGAACTACACACCTTGCTGGGCTTTCCTGCACTTTGCTTATAGCCCAGAGAAGAACTAAGCAGCTCTCATGCTGGGTCCCCACCCCTCACCCCCCGAAATGGTTCTGACTACTAGTTCTTCCAAAAGGCAGGTGCCTATGTCAGCTGATTTCTGTATGTATCTCTCCCCAGACAAATGCATGACGGATGCTGCATAGGTGAGTAGGATTGCTTTGCAAGGGTTTGTGGCTTCTCTTCCACTGCTGCAATCTGGAGAGCACAACAGAGGTGGTTATACAGAGTGTGGGGTTTTTTTTGTTTGTTTTTTATTTTTCAAGAGAGGAAGCACATGCCATTCCCAGCCTCTTTCAGGATTTGTCTACCTTAATATTGAAACATAAAATTAAGCTTGACCTGCTCTCCTAGATTTTTTTTTTTTTTTTCCTGAGGACTGCTCAGCCCTCCTCCTAAATCCTCTCTCTAGAGAGAGGTGTATACCGCCCTTATTTCCAGGTGAAGTAATTAATTGCTTACCTCCAAGTTAGGAGAACCTATTTAAGCCTTTCCCAGCAAGAGCAGCATCTTCTTCCAGGGTGGGAAGTGTTAAATGCCTTGTAAATCACAGCTGGCAATGTTTATTTGCCTTTGCCCAAACGGGAGCTCTCAAATATCTGACCCCTCATTAAAGGATGTGTGGGATCCCTGGTGGCAGAGATGGGACTGGGATGTAATGAACAGAAAGGGGTTCAGAGCTGCTGGACACTGACAGACCCTCTGGGTCTTTCTGGTTCTGTCATCTCCCAGGGCCTCCCTAAGTCCTGGAGTGGGCTAAGCAACTATGGGAAAGGCAGCTGGCTATGCTACAGGTCTGGGGATAAACATTGGGAAGGTCACTGATGTCTAAGCAGCATTTCCTTTCTCCTCCCTCCCAGGCAGAGGCTGTAAGACACCATTCTAGGTTTTCTTCAGAGAAAGTGACATGCTGACTGACCAGCCAGGTCCTCCCCAAATAGCTGTAGTAGTCTCACGCCCTTCTGGGCTAATGCTTCTGTGTATAACAACTCCTCTCAAGTAAAATTGAAATGTAAAACACCAACCTGTTTCTCACTTGCTTCCTCATGGAACTCTTCTGCCTGGTGGAGCCAGCATCAGCAGCACTGAGTTCAATGTCTAGAGCAGGGGTGGGCAAAAGGGCCTCCGGGCCAAATGTGGAGGTGGATCTGACCCACAGAGGCCCTGCTGCTCACCTGCCCCCAAGCCAATTGGGGCCTGTGGGTGCAGGAGCGCGCCCAATCTGCTCTGCCCTGTGAGCAGCACGTGGCAATTCCAAGCGTCATGTACTGCTTGCAGGGCAGGGGCAGAGCGGAGAAGGCTTTGCATGGTCCCCTGCCCCCAGGCCTTAATTGGCTGGGGGCAGCAGAATGCAGG